AAATAGTTATTCTCGCTTTATGGTTTAATTATAATGTTTATACTAGTACTAAATTTACAAAAATATTTGATTAATAATATGTCTAAAATTGATGAAATAATATCTTATAAATTTTTGCTCATTAGTTTTTTTTTTTTATAAAATTCTTAAAAATAAATTTGATGCTATTTTTTAAATATAAATAGTTTGACTTTTATCATAATAATAAAGTAAGTTTTATATTATTAACTCAGTAAAAAATTAATTTTGATTTTGATTTTTTTTTTCAAGATTTAAATGATTAACAAAAGAGTGTTCTTTTATGGATAAATTACAACAATGTTATAAGCAACTAAAATCCAGAAGAAGCATTCTGTGTAGTCTGTAATGTGACCATTAATATTGGTAATAAAAGGAAAACATCTCTAGACCTTCTCTTAAATACAGAAAATCACAAAGAAAAATTTAGTTTTAGTTGAAAATTGTCTGGTTCTCAACAATTTTATGATTTCTCATAGTACAGAAAAGGAGAGAAATATATCTGCAGCCAAACTGGTGTTGTCATATCACAAACTGGTGTTGTCATATCACAAACTGGTGTTGTCATATCACAAACTGGTGTTGTCATATCACAAACTGGTGTTGTCATATCACAAACTGGTGTTGTCATATCACAAACTGGTGTTGTCATATCACAAACTGGTGTTGTCATATCACAAACTGGTGTTGTCATATCACAAACTGGTGTTGTCATATCACAAACTGGTGTTGTCATATCACAAACTGGTGTTGTCATATCACAAACTGGTGTTGTCATATCACATTGTTTTTGATCATGAGACTTAAATCAAAACTAAACTCAGTAATCTTTAAAGATTTAGAAATTGCAAGAAGTGTAAAAATTTGTATTAAAAGCTAATCAGTGTCTAAAAATTTGTATTAAAGCTAATTGGCTGAAGTTCTTCGTTCTTTAGGAGATTGTGCAAGGTATGCACAATCTCCTAAAGAACGAAGAACTTCAGCCAAACGAAATAATAAATTTCAAAAATGATGCGATTAGTATGTATCAAAATGGTTAGGAGTATTTGAACTCATAGTTGGAACAGTTCCAACTATTTAAAACATTTTCCTTGTCCAAAAACGAAACAGTTTAAGAACAAGTCAACAATACAATTGAGTAATTAAAGGATAAAAATGTTAGCATAGACAAGGAAAAATGTCTTAACTAATTTGTTAATTTGCAAAAGTTTCGTAAAAACCATCTATCAAAAGAGATTGTTGATATAAACAAAAAATGGTTGCAATATTTGAAGATTATAATGGTATCAGACAAGTATTTAGAAATTCTAAAGATATTGCAATATATGTTTGCAATACCGGGTCGCAATGCAACCGTTGAAAGAATGTATAGTTTAATTGCAGCTCAATGATGAAAGAAACAGATTGGTGGTGGAGACAATTAAATATATAACTATGGTGAAATTTGATTTCAGCTTCAGTGATTGTATTGAATTAATGAAGTATTTTAAAGATGAATAAAAATGTGTCTATGACTGATAAATATGAATTTAAAAAAATAAAAAGCATAAAATTAAATTACTTTTTAAAAAAAAAAAAAAAGTTCTCCTCTTATTTTTTTGACTGTTCGTCACCCTACCTGCCCCGAACGTGAGAGCAACAAGTTGATAAAATATTTAATTTACTATTCTCAACAAAATTGTTATTTACCTCTCAGCATTTAAAAATTATGACTATGGAGTTCGTAGCTATTAATGAGCAATATATCCACTGGATGAATTACCTTAGAACAACCATTTAAATACTGTTTAAAAAATGCCAGATGGATTCTACTGCAAAAAGGGAATTTTATCAATCTAATCATTATGATTGTGACTAGATAACTTTTATTTATTGATAACTTTTGTTTATCTAGTTTTTTTCCTTAAGCTTTGTTTTGACTCTTTGAGTTGTGTTTAATTTATAACTTTTAGTACTTTAAGTTTTCTGGCTGAAATTGTGTAGCTCTACAGCTACAATATATAATATATATATATATATCCAAATGTATTATACTAGATAACAACTCATGAAAATAATTGCTATGTGTGTATATATATATATATATATATATATATATATATATATATATTATATATATATATATATATATATATATATATATATATATATATATATATATATATATATATCTTAAATTTTTAATTGTTTTTTAACTGCTCTCTATTATTATTTTTTCTTTATCCTTTTTTTTTTTTATAAAGTATTTGCATCAAACTCTTTTTTAATCAAAAGTTTTTATTTAAACTAACTCTTCATTTTTAAATTGTGACATAAAAAATTGCCATCATATCATGAAGAAAAAAAATTTCATGTTTGATTCTTACTCTAGCCATTTGAACAATATTAGTAAAAAAGGCATAAGAATCTTCTTTATTAAATGTTCTTCCGTGTTGCTCTGTGAGAAGGTTTTCTTAACCAAAAATAAAAAATAAAAAAAAGTATTAGAAATACAAATCCAAAAAAAACTAAAACACTATAATGAACATGGGTGTTTTTTAAAAATAGTGCAGTGGAAGGCAAGAAGTTGCATAAGATCTTCTTTTTGAAAATATTTTAAAAATCTAAATCTATTTTTATTAATTTAATAATTTATTTTAACAGTTTATAAATTTTACTTTTTAAAAGGGCTTTAATAATTGGCAATCAGATGAAAAGTTTGGTGAACAACGGTTACGTGGATGCAATCCAGTGTTGATCCAGTTATGTAAAAAAGTACCTGATAAGTAGGTTTTGTTATTTGTTAACTTACTTTATCAAAATTATATACTTCATAAAATAAAATTTACGTAAATATAATTTTGTTTTAATATTTTTTTGAATTTTTTTTGTATGAAAAATTATTGCTTTTGTATAAAACATTAAGAAAAAAAAAATTATCAACTATTAAGTTCTGTAAAAGTATTTTTTTATTTAATAATATTTAATTGTCTTATAATAAATAATATTTTATGTGAATACTAGTTGTGTGTTTAATTGACATTTTATTTAAAAATGAGACACATTTTTGCTATATGTTCTGATTGATTTTTATGAATTTGACCCTTTCATTAATTACTTTTCCTATAAAGTGGTCTACTCCAATTCGAATAAATCTCTTTACTGATAAATTTATATAAATCAACCACTTGAATTATTTTTTAGTCTTATATTTTAAATTGCTTTAAACAAATGTTAACATTGTCAAAATTAATTGTCAAAATTTGACTCATTTATTCAATATTTCTCCTGTTTTAGTATGTTGTTTTAGAAAAGAATTTTTTAAAAGTAAAAATCACTTTTAACATCATTTTAGTAATTTAGCTACCAATAAATTAACTTAGGTACCTTAGTAGTTTTTACTGGTATACTTTCAATGTTATTGGCACTGCCATTATAGATTTTAGTTTTATCTGACAAGTTCGATTGGTTTGTGACAAATATTTAAACTTAAAAATAGATTTTCTGTTATTTGTCCTCTTTTAATATATTTTAAGCAAAAATTTGCTCTAAACAACCTGAAAATTTGCTTAAATTTCACAATTTTGGGAAAAACTCAATGAAAACAAATAAACTTATCTTTCCATGAATTTTTTAATTTTCATTAAATTTAATAGGAAAAATTGAAAAATAATCATAAAATTTTATTTAAAAGGCTTTGGGTTCATATAAAAGTACAGCTTTTTTTCCTCTTTTTTTTAAATCAAAGAGTTATAGTTTCTCTTAGCTGTCTTTTGATTTAGTTGATAAGTTTATAATTTTATTTATAAATTTTATTTATTAATGATTTTATTTATAAATTATATTTTATATATATGCAGTGCATTGTGTAACTTAGTAGCTTCATTCATAAACCGTCTATTATTTACCTTGAATATTTAAATACATTTATGACTTTTTCAAAGCATTTACTTGATAAAACAGTAACTAAATTTATAGTATCTGAAAAAACAGTATCTGAATTTAGTAATAATTGCTATTTATATTAAATAAATAGCAATTATTACTAAATTCAGATACTATTAGAATTTCTAAGCTATTATTATCTATTATTATTCCTAATAAAACATGTTAATTTTTATACTATATAAAATAAAGATTTAATCAAATATAATTAAATGCACATTTTAGCGTCATAAATTTATTTAATTGCAAAACATAAACCATAATAAATATTTTTCTGTTGGTTAATAATTACAAAAAAATATTCAAAACTTTAATTGTAAACAATTCAAAGTATTCAAATGGTCTATCAAACTCAACAAGATTAAATAAAAATGATATTTAAAACACATTTTAACAAATGATATACATACAAAACAAAGCATAAAGAAGTTTAAAAGTGTATAAATCAAGTAATACCAAAATTTATATCTGGTCAAAGACTGAAAAACTTGAAAGCAATTTGCTTGTTATACATTTAAAAACTTAGTTTTCAATAAGGTGACAGTCTGGTGCAACAAAATAATGTAGGATATAGCTGCATAGTCAGTAAACATAATTATTTTAAAAAACACATTCATGTCTGTATATGTTAATATCATGTTATGAAATGAAACATTTTTACTTCATATTTTCCATTTGTGTTTACAAATATGTCCATTTGTATTTTCGAATTTACGTACTTAAACATTAATTTATTTTGTGCAGCATCTTTTAAGTTAACTTAGGAACTTTTATTATATACTTGTTTGTTTTCTTTAGTTTTATTTGAAGGTTTACATAAGCATCGAGACATTTTCAGTAGAAAACTAAAACTTAGCTGTTGTTTACTTAGTTTACTTGTGGATAAATTTTACTTGTGTGTAAAGCTTCTTTACACACAAGTAAAATTTAAGTATAATTTAAGTATAAATTTTAAAATTTAAGTATAAATTTTACTTGTGTGTAAAGCTTCTTACAAGCTTCAACTCATTTGATTTTTTATTTTAGCTTCAGTCATTTAAATATTGTGTTCGTAGTAATTGTATCGTTCCACTACATATATTTTGTTTAATCCTGCAACTATGTCTGGAGTAGATCAGTGAATAACTTTATGATCCATGATTCAAAATATTCCCGTAATATGTCCATCTCTAAGATTCATTCAGTTTGTTTGTAAATCTTATATCTTTTTTTATAAAACGTCATCTTTGGAAAGCCTGTAGCACTTACTTTCTCCATTAGCGGTTTTTCTTTTAAAAGATTTATTTTTCAAAAATATTTAAAAGATTCGTTTTTTCCAAGTAATCATTAATTATTAAAATGCTTCGCCAAAGAAACAGTTAATCATTAGTAATTAGTAGTAAAATAAATATTTCTCATATTTTAATATATTATTGTAATAATCAGATAATGTTTACTGCTTTGTGTGATATAGTTTATGAACAACTGAATAAAGTATACATGCATTTGTTTTGATTTTTTTCGTGTTTTTTGACTCGATTTTATTAAGCAATGAGATCAAGCACTATTGATTTCTTATTAGTGTAAGCAAAATAATTTTTCAACTTATCTCAAGATCTAAAAACGGCTAGAATTTTGTCCCTACAGGCCGAATTCAGATGTTCAAACCGCATTGTGTGAAAGTTGCTAATAGAAAAAATGTGCCCCAGAAACAGTCATCACAATCAAAATACAAACTACACAGACACGAAAACGGAATAGAATCAATATGTAAATAAGGACTCAATTGTTTAAATTGTCTGTTGCTTTGTTTGCAGCGTAAACTGATTAGGAAAGAGAAGGCTGGTTTGCCTCCCTTCATCATTGATTTTGTAATTGTTGGTTACTATTAAAAAAAAATCAAATTCTTATTATATGAATACCAAAACGGGAGTTACTGGGACGACTTAAAACAAATGTAGAGTTAATTGAAAAAGTTATTATTTTGAACAAAAAATGTCAAATCTTGGATCTGTGTGTGTACCACTGAGTTTCCATTCTTATGATTTATATTACTTATGATTAAAAAAAAAATTTTGTCCCAAGTAACCCCACTACAAGGTGTTATTTGAAACAATGAGCCCCAATCTGTTACAGAAGTGAGATCAGATTCAAGATCGGCTGTCAGTTCTATGTGATCAAAAAGAAAAGACTTTAAGTCAAGACAGAAGTATAAAGTTGAGTCATCAGCAAAAAGAGCTATTTTAGTTGTCAGGAATGATTTCTGGACCACAAGCCAAAGAAGAATTTAATTGAGATATGACTTTAGCAACGAAAGCTGGAGTGATTTGAATGTTTAACAATGGGTTAACCTGTTTAACTGAATGAAAGAAAGAGAATGACCATTAGATTCAAGAATCTTTTGGCCATTGTGACTATTGGAGTCTTTGTGAATCAAAGGATAGTACCCATCAACACTAAGATCAGAAGAAAGAATACCCAAATTTAAATTAGTCTCACTAAGAGCAAGCAAATCTGGTAAATTTTGCAATAGGTAAAGTTCAACTGATGGATGGTTGCTTTGCAGACTATGAATATTAATAAAAGATATACAAAAAACAGTTAGGTGTTAGGGATGGTTTTTTATGTTTAATATTTTGGGTTACTTTTGGCATGTTTTTTGCTTAAAGAGAACTTGACTCATTCGTTGATAGAGTACAGCCTCTTAAACAATTAGCTATGCTATTTTCTCAGTTCTGTTAATTCGTAACAAAGGGTTCCTTGTGTGGCCTTGACAATGATCACCAAAAGCATTAACAGGGACACCATCCATGCGCAACATGGCACTGTTGAAAGTTTGCAGACTCTCTGAGAGCTACCACAGAGTTCGGGAAACCTTACTACCAGCTGGCCTCAGAACCTTTAAACTGAGTTTTAGAGCTATACCCTCATTAGGAGATGACAGGAAGAGTTGCATAGCCACTATCAAGGAGGCACAAGTAAAAATCTATGAGAAGAGTCAAGAACATCCAGCATTCATCACCCTTATACTTATATACATGTTTTTTCTAAGTATCTATGTAAATATAGACTTATAAAAAACAAAGCTTTTTAAAGTATCTTAAAAAAGTTATTTTTCTTTTCTATTATTTAGTTGTATTAAAGTTTAAATATATATTTTTTCTTTTTCTTTCTAGGTATTTTGTATTCTGTCTATTATTTATTCAGTTTTTAATAATTTTTTTATTGTTAGTGTTTCTTTTGTTTGAAAATCTATTAATTTAATTTTTAAACTCTTTTGTTTTAAACTATTTTGTTCAAAAACCTTTAAAAACTTTAGCAAAGCAAAACTTTTAAGTTTTCAACAATTTTTTTAAATAAAGAAATTTACTTTAAATAACTTTATTTTTCAATATTAAAAATATTTAAATCTTTAATAATTGTTCATACTAATTTTATAATTTCAGCTTTCCTGTAACAAATGAGATGGTTTCTCAATTCTTGGATGGTTTCACACTTGAAGAAACCATTGAAAAAAAGCAATTGTTCATAGTGAACTTGGCAATTCTAGAAAATTTAATTTTGGAAAATGGAAGAACGGTTTGTTATATTTTTGAAGTTAAATTTAAAAAGAGTTTTATGTAATGCTAGATTTATACAGCATTTGCAACATTTGATATGTTCAACCAGAAGTCTTTGTGTTGTTAAATTTTTAAATTTACAATTTTGATTCTGACTGATATTGCATGATAATGTCGGATGGGGCGAGAATGATGAAACAGGATGAAGGATGATGAAATTTGGATGAATGATTAAAGGGTGATGAAACAGGACAAGGATGATGAAACAGGTTTGGGTGAAGTTGATGAAGATGATGGTGTAGTACTTAAAATGTTTGAGCAATTTATAATTTTGATGTCAAGAAACTCAACGTTATGTTGTTTTTTTTTTTGTTTGTTTTCTACATCAAATTCCCTATTTATGTCAAGAAACTCAATGTTATATTTTAATTTTTTATTTTTGCGTTTGTTTTTGTTTTGTTTAAAACTATTTCTACTTTAATATAATATTGCAAACAATATGCTTGGCTGGTTTAAAAGGGCTTTCAGCAGTTGTGATTTCATACTATAGCGCACTCTTAATTTAACATATATCTGCCCTCTTCTAGAATGTGCCGTATAGAGGCTTAGTTTTACAAAATAAAATATTGAACAATATAGAAAAAGTTTGCCCCAGAAACAGTAATCACAATCAAAATACAGACTACACAGACATGATAACGGAATAGAGAGTCGATATGTAAATAAGGACACAATTGTTTAGACTGTCTGCTGCTTTGTTTGCAGCGTAAAGTGATAAGGAAAGAGAAGGCTGGTTTGCGTCCCTTCAATCAATTTTGATTCTGACTGATATTGCATGATGATGTAGGATGAGGCGAGAATGATGAAACAGGGTGAAGGATGATGAAATTTGGATGAATGATTGAAGAGTGATGAAACAGGGCAAGAATGATGAAACAGGTTTGGGTGAAGTTGATGAAGATGATGGTGCAGTACTTGAAATGTTTGAGCAATTTATAATTTTGATTGATTTATTTTGTTCATGTGGAATCAAGTGGAAATAAATCAATGTTTTAAAACTCAGCAAATTTCGTTGATTGAAACTAAATGCGTTTGTGTAAATGCATCACCAGGGTTAAAAATTTTTTTTTTTTTTAGTTTTTTTTTTTACTTTTAATTTATTGCAGCAAATATTTTCCTTTTTGCCTAACTCACTTAACTTACTTGACTGCGTTTAATGGTTGAAGTATATATAATAAATGATTAACATTCCAGTCTGATGTCTGCAACACCGCATATATCTGTAACACGTTAGTAACGTGTGATATGAATGTGACAAGACTACAATGTAAATAACTTTAATTTAAAAAATTAATTAAACTACTCAGTTTAAGTTTATATATATACCAAAATAGTTACTTTTTTATTTAATTGCTGGTGTGAGAGCAAAAGTTCTTTAAAAAACACAAAAATAAAATCTGTTCAAAAGCAGACTGCCTGCCCAAACCAAACACTTAGTCGATGTAGCAGCACTCCCTTGCGAGTCAGGCTATTTGTCAGTTGATGTAGCAGCACTCCCTTGCTTATCAAGCTATTTGTCAGTTGATGTAGCAGCACTCGGTTACGAGTCAGGCTATAAGATAGTCGATGTAGCAACACTCTGTTACGAGTCAGGCTATAAGTTAGTCAATGTAGCAACACTCTGTTGCAAGTCAGGCTATAAGATAGTCGATGTAGCAACACTCCTTTGTAGCAGCAGGCTATAAGATAGTTGATGTAGCAACTCTCCACATATGTTTTAAAAATATATTTTAACAAAACAACAACAAAAACACCATTATTTAAAAAAAACTTTCTGGTCATTATTATTGCAGGTTTTTTAAAAAACAATAAAATTTAATGTACATCCACATTAATTTAATTGCTTTAACATTTCGACGACAATCACATACAGCTTAAGAGACTAGGTAAAAAAAATTGTAGTTGAAAGAGACTTTTTTTTACCATAAAAGTCTCTTTCGACTACACTATAAGGATATATATCAGGCTTGGACAGGAATAGCGTGCGATCGCACTCTGTAACTGACCACGCTAATATTTTTTTTCTTCTTTACAACTTGACCACGGCTATTTTGATGTTTTAATAATTTGAATGCAATAAAAAAAGTGTTACATTATAAATATCTTTTATTTGTTGATCTTTTCTAAAGTTTTTATTTTACAGAAGGCTTTAAATAAAACCATAAAATTAACTATAATAATTGTTTACATAAACACATGTGTAAATTAATAAAAAGTGTTATATATAAGTTTTTTTTATGTATGCGTGTATTTTTTATGATAAATTTAAACATTTGAAACTAATTTTTCATACCTTCCTAAAACATGTTTAACTATTATTTTTAGAAAGCATTTTTTAAGTTACTTTAATTTGTTAATAAGTTCAAAAGCTTTTGTGACTACTAGCTTTTACAAATTTTACATGAATTACACAAGAATATAAAATAACTAAATAAATGTATTTTGTTGATTTATGAAAAAGTTTTAAAGCGTTTTGTAATGTTCATACGATTAATTTTTATAATTAAATTTACGATTTTTTAAAATGTTTTAAATAAACATTTTATTCTTTGTAAAAAAAAAATTTTTTTTATTTCAATTTTGATAAGAATGAATGAGTTTCAACGAAAATGAATAAATAAATCTTTTATAGTAATTTTAGATTTGTTACATGAGGCGCTTATTTAAAAAGTTGTAATGCTCAAATTAAAATTTATTTTATTTAAATCTCAATTTGTTTTATTTAAATCGCAGGCGTATTTTTTTTATTTAATTTTTTTTCTATTTTTACAAATAAAAAAAGTTAAAAGCCTTTTTTTTAATTAGACATTAATTAGAGCATGAAGTTATTAAAAATTACTATTTTAAATAGACTACGTTATTTTTTTAAACATTTTTTTTTGCAACTTTTTTGAAAAAATAAATGTTTATACTATTAAAAAATTTTATATACAACACTTTTTATTAAATTTAATAAAATTTGTTCATTTATTGAACAATCATAGTAGTAATTTGTTACTTAATTTAAAAACTTTTTTGTAGCTTTATAATGTCTAAAAAGATATGTAATTAAAAACGTAACAAAATGAATTAAAAACATATGTAATTAAAAACGTAACAAAATGAATTAAAAACATATGTAATTAAAAACGTAACAAAATGAATTAAAAACATATGTAATTAAAAACGTAACAAAATGAATTAAAAACATATGTAATTAAAAACGTAACAAAAAATTTCGCTTCGAGTTTAAGTTTTTATTTTTATTTTAGTGCTTAAATAATTTCTTTTTTGCTATGAATTTGTTTTTCGTTTCTTTTTTCGTTAGAAATTTTTACTTCGTTAGTTTTTTTTTTTAACTTTTTTTTTAGTTTAAGTTTAGCTTAGCATTTCTACAATTAGAGCATATCTGAAATTTTTAAATCATCAAAACATATAAACAATCGTAGCCAAGTTGTCAAAAAATAAAATCATTCACGTGGTCAGCAATAGCGCTCGATCGCATGCCATTCCTGCCCAAGCCTTATATATATATATGTATATATATATATATATATATATATATATATATATATATATATATATATATATATATATATATATAGATATATATATATATATGTATAGATATATATATATATCTACTATAGCAAATTTATATACCCAATTGCTCACTTTTTTTGCTAATCTAAATTAAGTGAGCGTTTTGAGAAAACAATGAGGGAAAACGAAGAATAATGAATGAAAAGGTTGCTGACCCATACCAAACCCTCAGTCGATGTAGCAGCACTCCCCCGCAGCAGGCTATTTCAGTATGATGTCATCATGCTCATCTAGCTCAGCAGTATAAGATATATATATGTATATATATATATATATATATATATATATATATATCCTTATAGTGTAGTCGAAAGTGACTTTTATGGTAAAAAAAAGTCTCTTTCAACTACAATTTCTTTACCTTGTCTCTTAAGCTGCATTTTATTTGTCGTTGAAATGTCAAAGCAATTAAATTAATGCGGAAGTACATTAAATTGTATTGTTTTTAAAAAAACCGCGATAATAATGACCAGAAAGTTTTTTTTAATTAGTGGTGTTTTTATTTTTTGTTTTATTAAAAAACTTTTTTAAAACATGCGTAAGTGTTGCTACATAGACTATCTTATAGCCTGACTCGCAACGGAGTGCTGCTACATCGACTGACAAATAGCCTGACTCGCAGGGGAGTGCTGCTACATTGACTGACAAATAGCCTGACTCGCAAGGGAGTGCTGCTACATCCACTGACAAATAGCCTGACTCGCAAGGGAGTGCTGCTACATCAACTGAGGGTTTGGTTTGGGCAGGCAGTCTATCATTTAAATAAAAAAAGTTTTTTAACATTTTCTGGTCAGGCTTATTAACGCGCTCTTTAAAACAACAGTTTATGGGAAAAACTTTGTGACTACCATGCAAGACTATATATATATCAGGCTTGGTCGGGAAGCGGGTGCGATCGCACTCGATAATTGACCACGGAAATATTATTTAGTTGCAAAAAGCTGGCCAGATATTTTAGTCGTTTTGAGAACATCTCAAAAAAGCGCATTTAGATTAACTGGACCGACGAGAGACAGTTAAAAAAAGAAAAATAACTTTTAACGCTAAAAAACTTTAAGCAAAATAAATTTATTAAAGCAATTATTTTTGAAACGTTGCTCTTTTATAACTTTTTTATAAAATTAAGCGACATTTTTTATCTATAGTAACAACTATAAAGAAACAAATGTCCTTCGATTTATCAAAGAGTATATATAATTTTTATTTATATACTTATGTCTTATTTCCAGTGCTGGATTGAGGAGGTGAGGTGGGGTAGTAGGGCTATAGTCCCGGGACTAACAGTGTTAGGGAAAATAGTCAGGAGAACCGATCAGTATTTTTTATAGTCATTTTTAAGCTGTGGCACATAAAATGGCCGCTAAAATAATGCAGCAC